GGTCCTTTGGGCTGGGCCATACCTTCTGAAGGATTTCCACTCAGCTTCAAGCCACCTTCATTCTCACTTGGATCCCCAGTCACAGACATGTGCATTCCTGACTAAGGGTGAATATAGTCCTGTTCTTAGCCAGACAGGAAGCAGCTCCAAGACCTCAGCAGTACACTGTACTCCCATGAGGAAGGAAGTTCATTTTCAGGGAGGGTGACCTTGTTCTTAGGGTCTCAGAGAAGGGACTAAACTGGAGTGATGAGATCCCATTTCATTTCATAGCTGGGAAAATTCATGCCTGTTACAATCTGAGAAACGATGGTCACAAACAGGTACTGCAGCCTCTTCCCCTCTTGTTCTCATTGTGGGGCTGAGGTAGCTTATAGAGCTGAGGTGTTCCAGGGGACACTGACCACAACCAGACAAGCGGCATGGATCCTGTTTAGCAGAAGACAGGAGAGGGAGTTTACTGAGAAAGGACCTGATGGCCATATCAGGGTGGGTAAGAGGAATTCTTTGGCTAAGCCCACTGGCACATGTCTGTGATCTCAGTGACTTGGGAGGCTGAGTCAGGAGGATCACAAGTTCAGGGCCAGTATGGGCAACTTAGCAAAAGCCCATCTCAAAATAAAAACCAAAAGGCTGGGGGTGTAGCTCACTGTTAGAGCACTCCTGGGTTCAGTCCCTTTAGAATTTTTCTTGGAATTGAGAACAGTATTGGTTAGCTTGATCCACAGTGATTGGTCCTATTCTAAGTCTGAGAGGGCTCAAGTTTTGAGCCCTCTTTACTCTTTGAAGGGACTCACCTGTCCTTCATCAGTGGCATCAAGCATAGCAGCTACCATCTCAGCACAGTCTTTGCTTTAAATGCACAGGCATAGGGGTGTGGAGGCAAGGAAAGGAGTCTTTTTCAGTGTCCCAGGAAGCTAGTTTTGGTAATGCAGACCTGGGTCCCCAGGGGACCTGCCAGAAGTGTTCAGCTTGTGAGCACAGGCATTTCAGCAAAGGTCATCCATCCAGAGATCCAGGATATAGCTGATCCCAGGTGATTAAATTCTCCTATCTTACATCTGGGGACTCTAAGGTCTAGTGGCAAAGCAGAGAGACCCCAGATGGCAGAAAACAGCTGCCCCTCCTTTTTGATATTAAGGGGCTTAGGTGGCCCACAGAGTTATATGGCCCTTACCAAGAGTGGGGTGAGGGGGAAGAAGCTAATGAGCTTCCGGGCCTCTCTCCCTGGTTATGGGACCCTTAGTATCCCAGAGCAGCATGGGATTCAAGGAAAGATCCCATCCCCAGACCCCTGCCCACCCTTATACCTTGCTGGCAAGAGGGAGGCTGGGGCCTATAGTGCCCTTTTGCCCTGTCCTTAGTGATCGAGACACACAACTGGCACGGCTGATGAAGAGGAACAACCTGAACCGGGAGGATGCAGAGGCCCGCATCAAGGCCCAGCTGCCCCTGAAGGACAAGGCCCGCATGGCTGACCATGTTCTAGACAACTCGGGCGAGTGGAGCATCACCAAACGCCAGGTCATCCTCTTGCATGCTCAACTGGAGCGCTCCCTGGAGTACCTGCCACTAAGGCTCGGAGTCCTCACAGGTCTGGCTGGAATTGCCAGCCTCCTCTACCTGTTTACCCGCTACCTTCTGCCTTCCCCCTAGGTGGGCAAACCAAAGCAGGAAGCCCCAGGCCTTTGTCTCCTTGGAGACCAAAGCTAGGTACCACCTTCTGTCTTCCTCCAGCTTCTTCAACATACACACATGCACCACACATACACAACACACACACACATACAGATACACACACGCACAGACACACTATGAATCTTGGCTGGACCACTGTTCTGGGCCAACCTTTCTTTATAGTGTATTCTTTCTGAGGCTGAGAAGTAATCTATTGTCAATAGGTACACCTTCCCAACCTCCCCAGTGCCCCTCCCTCCCCTGGCAGCACCTATAGAACACTATAGAACAATGTCTGTGATGGCAAAAAGCATCAGTTACATTGGTATGGACTCCTGTGGGCAGGAGTGGGAGCAGTGTTTTGTGGCCCTCACCAGTGTTTACAGCTGGGAGGCCAAGGAATCCCTGAGCTTGAACCTTCTCTGAACACCTGCCCCATCAAAGCCAATACTTGGTTGAGACCATGGGGATGCCTTCAGCCTTCCATCTTCAAACAGGGTTCTCCCCTAGGTTAAAGTGAGGCTTCACTCATGGGTAATGAGTAACTAGGCAGAAGCAGAAGTTCTGGGAGACTCCGCTTAGTAGGTTCTTCCAGTGTTCACCATCCCTTGCTCACTGCCTCCTACCACTAAGCCTCCTAGCCCTGAACCCTTGGTACTCCACAGCCACCACGCTGTTTCTCACCTCTGTGCCTTTCTCCAGGTGCTGCCTGGCCTGTAATATTTTTTTCCCCACTACAGCTGGCTAACAGCTCAGACACCAAGCCCCAGGCTGGGTTAGGTGCTCTGGGATACCACCCTCTTGTGTTTTTCCTTAATCATTGGCATAGTAATCAACCAAAAGTTGGTTGGTTTCTTCTAGACTGTACGCCTCTTGTGGGCAGGGTCCGTCTCCTTCATACCTGTTTTCCTAGTGCAGAGCTGGCTCGCCAATGGTGCTCAATAAAGTATGTTGATTTGAAATACCTTGAACTAACTAAGGTGTCCAAATCTGGTGGATACCATTTGGGGTTCCACTTGGCTTCTTCCCACATGGAAACCTGGGTGCTGGGAGGACTTATGCCAAGCCCACTGTACCTTTGTGAAAGGTGGGTTGGGGTGCTTGGGCAGCATTACACACACTCATAGCCACCACCTCAACTGATCTGTAATCCCAGTGATTTTAGGAGGCTGAGGCAGAGAATTGCAAGTTTGAGACCAGTGTAGGCGACTTAACGAGACCCTGCCTCAAAATAAAATGGTAAAGCACTTGCCTACCATGTGTGAGGCCCTGGGTTCAATCCCCAGCGTTGCCAAAATTAAAAAACTAGACACTAGCCTTCACTACCAGCACCCACAGATCTGCTGATATGTGCGAATCCAGCACTAGCAGCCTCTTAAGGCCAGAAATAAGTGACTAATGTGGTACAGTTGTGGCCATAGTTGATGCCTCTTTCCTAGAGCTGCTCAGACCTCAGAGACCAGCTCATTAACTCACTGCAAATTCCCAAGGAGCAAAGAACGACTGGGCTTGGAAGTGGCAAAACCTGCTGCTTCCCCAGTTTGATAGGGCCTGGCAGGACCTGGGGGTGGGGAGGGGGGATATGGACTTTCATGATGCTGTTAGCCCAGTAATTAAGAAAATGATTTGATGGCTGGGTGTGGTGGTACACGTACTTGTAATCCCAGCAACAGGAGGCTGAAACAGGAGGATCTCGAGTTCAAAGCCAGCCTCAGCAACTTGGCAAGACTGCTCCAAAAGTGGCAAGGGATGTGGCCCAGTGGTTACATGCCCCTGGGTTCAATCCCTGGTACCAAAAAGAAAAAGAAGAAAATGACTTAATTGACGTAATGGATGTCTGTAAACACTACTGCATGTGTCTAGTCTGTAGCTGACATTCATTTGTATTTACTCCAGGCCTTCTGGTTGAGGGGTTCAACTTGGGGTGACCAGCCAGACTCCATACTCTGCCCCCTTCTTAGGAGGATAAGGAGACCTGGGGATTTTTTTTTAATATTTATTTTTTTAGTTGTAGGTTGGACATGATACTTTTATTTTAATTATTTATAATTGGAACCCAGGGCCTTGCATATACTAGGCAAGTGCTTTACTGCTGAGCCACAACCCCAGGCACCAGAGGTCCAGAGCTTGGGTTGAAGTAACCAACAAGAGTAACGCGAAGCTTCTCAAAATCCCCCACCTGGGATTTTGACCCAGCTCTCTACTTGCTATTTGACCTCCTGCCTTAGATTTATAAAGGCAGGCTTTTATATGACGTAACAAAAGGTTGACAGTGAAAAACCTTTGGTTACTGTAAAATTCCAAATAATTCACTTCCCTGGCCCAGCCTGTGGAGTTAGAACTCAGAGGTGGGGCAGGCTGGAAGGTGTGGAGAAGCTGTAAATGCGTCCTGTCCTGGCCCTGGTCGTACCTCTGCTCTGCTGCTCCTTACTCCTTGTCTCCCTGTCCCAGGCTGGTGGAAGGCAGCCTTAGAAGGCCTGCCTTCGAGTCAGACTTCAGCTAGAGGCCACTTGTGCAAACAGCCAAAGCCCAGCCCCGCGCCGAAGGGAGCGGCCTCCCCTGCGGCCGGCAGGTGGCAGCACACTCCGGGATTGGAACCCGGCCCAGGCGGCGCGCGCCCGCGGAGCTCATCCTAACTTTCCCTCGGGATGGTGGCGGGCACCACGCTGCGCGTGGACGCCGAGGCGCGGGAGAATTGCCTGCTCCTGAGCGCCGAGGCTACGGTCTCCGATACCCTGCGTGCTCTCCTGATGTGTCGGGGACGAAGGGACGTGGCTCTATCCCCTACCCGCAGCTATGTGCCCGGGGCCTTTTTCCCATTCCCCAGCTTCACTCAACACCCGGGCGGAGCAACAAGGACGCCTGCAAGGACTGCAGGCTCACCCGCCCCTTGGACCGATGAAGGGCAGGGCAGCACGGGCAGGCCCTTAAAACCATTCTTGTCCGCAGGCCGGGCTGGCCCAAGAGAAATTTGTAGTTTTACAGTTTTCAAAGCACCTTCACGCGGTTATCTCAAGTCTGAAGTCTGCAAGGGAGTGAGGGAGGCAGGGCCAGGATTTTACAGAGGTCCCAAGCTTGGGTTGAAGTAACCCACGAGAGTAACGCGAAGCTGCTCAACTCCAGCATGGTGCCCCTCCCGCTACTTTCACTGCCCGGGTCAATTACACCTTGGTAGTGGCGATTTTTGTTCTTTGGCATGGGGGATTGAACACAGGGCCTCACCCGCGCTGAGCAAGCACTCTAACACTGAGTTACACTCTCAGCCCTTTAAAAAAAATTATTTTTTTGCGTGATACTGGTGATTGAAACCAGGAGAACTCAACCACTGAACTACTTCCCCCAGCTCTTTATTTATGTATTATTTTGAGACAGGGGCTTGCTAAATTGTGCGGGCTGGCCTCCAACTTGCTATCCTCCTGCCCATCCTCCCAAGTTGGTGGGATTAGACCTGTGCCACTGCACTGATTCCTTGGTCTTTAGTAGTTATTGACGATCTTTCTTCAGCTCTGTTCTGTTTCCTTAGGGGGATGGGAGGGGCAAGGAAAGATTTGGGACTCTCCATGATCAGCTTTCATGATTAGAAATGGGATGGGAGAGGAATTGTGTCTGCTGAGCACCCCTTGTCCTCACAAAAGCACTTGAGGTCACTGAAAAAGAGTCTCGGGGCAGGAGAGGGCATAGGGTGGCAGTGATGACCCCAGGCCATGGGGCACATGGGAGCCAGCAGGGGAGACCCCTGGAAATGTCTAGAGAGAAGGTTAGAAGTGGAAGAGGTGATGTGGTGCCATGGGTTGCTTTCCTGCTTGTTCCAGGAAAGAGGAGTCATGGCTGGTTGTGACTCCTCTGTCTTCCCAGTAGAGCTGAGGCTGCACCCAGCTGGGTCCCAAAGCTGCTTCTCTTTGCCCCCACCTTCCCTCCCCTCCCCATCGCTCAGATTCCAATACAATTTCCAGCTAACCAGCATGTCGATAGAACAAGTCGGGCGGCCGGATTGCTGGCCAATTACAGGAAATCATTCTGCTCCACAGCTCAGCGCTTCGGGAGAGGGAGGGAGGGACTGAAGGAGCAGTCGCCCAGCTAGCAGGCTGGGAAGGGGCTCCTGGCAGAAAGCAGGGAGTGCTGCAGCCCCCAGGGCAGGAGAGGATGGATGGGAAGGCTCCTGGGGACAGACTGGCCTGGGGCTCTTCCTCAGCCTCACTCAAAGCTCTGGATCCAGCTTCCCTGTGATGGGGAGATTGATGCCTCAAGCCACAAAGAGAGCTGGGGGCTGAGGGCGGATGAAGAGGGTCCTGGAGGGAAGGCATTTGCTTGGAGCTGAAGAGGATAGGATGGGGGGATGGTGAGACCAACCTCCTCTAGAACCCCAAGGAGTGGGGGTGGAAATGGGGATGGCACCCAGGCCTCACCCAGGGGAGCCCTGTAGGGCTATCTGGGGGCCTGAAGCTGGAGCCACACAGGCAAGACCTGTACTTCCACAGCAGGCCCTGGCCAAGGGTATCCCAAGGGAAGGGGGAATTGGGGAGGAAAGGGGCCCAGCCTGCAGCTGAGAGGACTAGCAGCAGCCTGGCTTGAGGAAAGGGTGAGTTTTTCACCCCAGCTTCCCTTCCACTCCAGAAGGCAGGCTGCAGAAGTTGGGGGCGGGGGTCAGACAGTACTCTTCACTTAGCTTCCCAGCTCTTTAATTTCCACCTCTGGCTCTCAGGTTAAAGTCCCCTCTGCCCCCTATCTATCCCACCTTCTGTGCCCACTTGAAGGCTTGTTTGCCTACTCCACCCCTACCCCTCATCATGTCTCTCCCCAACTGTTTTAGGCCCTCTTCCAAACTGCCTGCCCAACCAGCAGACCCAGCTCCCCATCTCAAAGAGGAGCTCTCTCCCCTGCTCCTGGGTGTTTCCTTCAAAGTACTGGAAGATCTTTGAGGAACAGAAAATTACCTAGGACTAATTCCACCCAATGATTGACTATTGTTGCAGTTTACAAGCCCAAAAGGAGACTTCTGGGATCCAGTGACTTCCTCTGCTCCAGTCTGTATAGCCACCAACCCAGGTACCTTCCCCAATTCCCCAGGATCTCACTGCTCTTTCTCCAATTCCAAACCCTCTTGGAATCCCTCCGGGCTGGGGCCTGGGTTGAATTCACTTCTAGCTCTTTGGCCAAGTTAGTGGTAGACATATGGATCGACCTGAAAGGAGAGATGCTGAAGGATTGTTCAAAGTTCCTTTGCTGCGGTGAACCTGGGTGGGGCGGGGAGCAGCAAGGCCAGTGCTCCGGGACCTCTCTTTCTCCGGGTCTCTGCCCCAGTTCACAGGTTCAGACAGGCGGGGAGGAAGTGTCCGAACTGCCTCAATTTGTGTCCATCGCATGGCACACGGTGGGCGGTTGTCCGCTCCGGCGAGCTGAGATTAAGCTCCTGCGCCGGGACTCTAATGCCGCCTCCGCTGTCCCTCCCTCGCCATAGCCTCTAGCAGGCCAGGAGCCCGGTGCTCGGCGATCCGGAAGAGGGCGCCCTCCCTGCCCTAGTCCGCGGTGTCCCCCGCCCGGCTCGCGGCGCTCTGCAGCCCGCAGGCTCGGTGCCATCGATCGGGCCGCAGGGACCCGGGCACGCCGCCTACCCACCCCTCGCTTTTCGCTTTTAATTGAAGTTTGTTTGAGCAGAGCGTGGAGCAGGCAGAAGCAGAAACCAAATATTTAGTTGCTGCAAATTGGCACCTCCAGATCAATTACCCGGCCCGTGTCAGGGCCTGCGCCGCCCCCCGCGCCCTGCAGAATCTCAATGCCGCGCTGCCCGCGCCCGGGCAGCCCGCGCCGCCCGCGCCGCCCGCCTCCATTCCAGCGCACGTTTCTCATCAGCTCCAGCCATACATCACCCGTGGCCGCGAGGGAACAGATTTTCAATGGGAAAAGTTCCCCGGGAGGGTCCTTGTTTCTGATTCCCACCGAGCCCTGCGCGGTCTGGGCCCCCGCCTCCACCGGGCCTGACTGATGGGGACAACCCGAGAGTAGCAGTGAGTTCCAAAGAAAGGACTTTGGGTCCCTAGCCCCCAATCCTAGCAACTCCTCTAACCCACTAGGTGACCTTGGGGAAGTCATTCATGCTCTGTCAGCCTGGGTTTCCTCATCTGTAATTTGGGGCCCAACTTTGTGGGGTCGACGACATGGAGGGACAGCACGGGAACTGGCACATGGAGGCTTTCCACGGCTATTAGTTCTCAGTCATGCAGGGGGAGGGGCAAGATAGCCTCTAGAATGAAGGAAGGGACACTGAGGGAGGCAGTTCAGTCGAGTGGCTGAAATGTTAAGAGGAGGCAGGGGGCAGGCAGCCCCCTGGAGTCTCTGGCAGGGGCCAATTGGGCTCCTTCCGGAATAGTTGTGACCCAGCCCAGATGCATGGAGAAGCTAGCTCTCCAGTACTGGAAGAAGCTGGGCTTGAAGGTGAGCCCAAGGCTGCATTCAGGAAAGGAGCCCAAGCTGAGGACGGTGGACAGAGGCTCCTAAGCCACACTGTGCGGAACACCCCAAGGCCACGCCTACCTACCGCCCCGGAGTCACGACAGCTGGGCTGTAGCGAGGCTTTGTCTTTTTCCAGCTACAGGACCCTGGTCAAGTCCTTTAGCCTCAGTGTCCCGGTGTGTGAAATGGGCCAACGTCCTCGGTCTCTCAGATCATATGTGAGGAGGAAAAGAGAGGATGTGCAAGACAAGAAGGAAGGACTCACCAGTAGGCCAGAGGGAGCCGGTGCCAGGTTTGTGCGTTTGCTCCTCTTCCTATACTCAACACCCGGCCATTCCAAGGCTCCCCCTCCTCAACTGGAGTCAAATAATTTGGCATTTTTAAAGGCCATTCAGGCAGACAGAGTGACAGGGGCTCTGGGTGGGAGGAGAGGTGTGGGGGAAGGCTGGGAGAGCCCTTCCTTATGGAAGGAGGCTCTCCATCCTCGTCCTCCACTCCCACAGGTGTTACCCTGGTCAGGATCCTTGCCTCCCTGCACCGGCTCCTCAGCCAGGAGTCAGCGCGATGAAGAAGTCAGCCACAACTAGAGGACAGTTCTTTTCCCATCACACCTGGAGTTTGGGTGAATAAGCATGGCTGACATGAAACCCAGAGCTGCACTGAGAAGCAAACTCACTCCCCAGCCTCAATTTTCCTAATTGTGAAATGGGACTACAAGGCCATAAGCCACTAAGCATGAAGTGCTATTTGGACAGGCGGGTGACTTCTGGAGGCTACTGAATGCATTGTCCTGCCTTCCACACACACACACTTCTAACCCACTATGCCCCGTCTGCAGAGGATTATCTCTGCTGGCAAAATGTCTTTGGGCCTAGCAACTCACCATTTATCAACTCAGGAAGTCCTTCTGACAATCTACCTTAAATCTCCTACTGCTTCCTTCAGGGAAAATTTAAAGAACAAACAGCAAAAAGATAAATGCTTATGGGCTGGTGATGCCATAATATTTTTTAAAAATACCCCCAAAGATGGCCGGGGGTGGGGTGGGGTGGGGTGGGAATTACCTCTGGACACAATGCTCTTTACACTAAACATCTTGGCGATAAATATAGCTGTGTAATTCTTTTTTCTCCTTGGCAGAGAGAAAGGCTGAGGCTGGGCAGAAAGGCAGAGGGACCCGAAAATATAAATCAATATGTGACTTTAATATATGTGCTCTCGGTGGCTGTGTGTGCTGGGGGATTATTAGTAACCTTGATTCCAGCTCAGTGTCCATGTGAGGCGGGGAGACGTGTGGCCCCCGGGGAGGAGAAGAGAAATTAGGAAGCCAAATTCTTCTCCTGATTGACACCTGGGTAAACATTATCCCGGCAGAAGGGAAAGAAAAAAAGATCAATGCTGGGTATTTTTATCACGTTCCAGGGACGGACAGGGGGAGAAATTAAAGAAACAGTCCTGTGATTTTTTTGAATATGCTCATCTCCAAGGAGGAGGCAGATGAGGTGGAGCCCAGGCAGAGGGCAGCACCAAGGGTAGGAGAGGAAGTGGGTATGTGCCAGGGAGCAGTACCTTGGCATGTTTTGCCCAGGGGCACTGGTGTGAGTGGCAGCAGGTACAAAGGAGCCAGGCCTTTAATGGCAGGGCAAAGGCACCAGCTTTGATGGGGAAATCACAGGCTGCAGCTTCTAATGGGAGATCAGGCTCTGGTTTCTATGGAGGATCAAGAGGCATTGGTCTCAAAACGGGCTGTTTTAATGGAAGGTTCCCAGCACGTGGGGACAGAAGAGTGGCTTCTGCAGGGGTAAAGGGCAGGGAGGGGACCAGGGTGGGTCAATACCCATGTGGAGGAGGGGTCATCTCTCTGGGCTGTCTCAGATCTAGAGTTAGGAAAAACCTTGGCTTCCTCTCTTTTGTGGTTGCATGACCTTGACCCAGTCATTTGAACTTCGTGGTTTCACCTTCCTTTTCTGTAGGACAATGATAAACAACCCCCACTCCCCTCATCTCACAGTTTTAAATAAAATTGTACAAAATGGAGCTGGGGATATAGCTCGGTGGCAGAGCACTAGCCTAACATGTGTGAGGCCCTGGGTTCGATCCCCCAAATTGCAAAAAAAAATTAAAGTACAGCCTGCCATACAGCTGCTGAAGGGCTGCTATTACATACCACAGATCTGTTCCACAGAAATGTAATGAGAGGGCTGGGGTGTGACTCTGTAGTAGAGCATTTGCCAGGCATGCATGAGGCCCTGGGTTTGATTCCCAGCACCACACACACAAAAAAATGATACTGGTGTTATAGCTCAGCGGTAAAGTGCTTGCCTAGCATGGGTTGAAGCTCTAGGTTTGATTCTCAGCACCACATAAAAACAAATAAATAAAATAAAGATTAATTTTTTTGTACCAGGTATTAAACCCAGGACCCCTTAACCATTGAGCTATATCCCCAGCCCTTTTCTTATATTTCATTTAAAGACAGGGTCTCACTGAGTTGTTTAGGTCATTGCTAAATTGCTGAGGCTGACTTTGAATTCACAATCCTCTTGTTTCAGCCTCCCAAACTTCTGGGATTACAAGTAGGTGCCACCTCGCCCAGCTAAGGTTAAATTCTTGGAAAAAATAAAAAAGATACATACTCTTAAATGATGTTCTAGTAGTCACATTTGTAGAGTGGAAAAAAGCACACCTGCGATCCCAGCAACTCAGGTTGGGTGAGGTTCAAGGCCAATCTGGACAATTTAGTGAGACCTTGTCTCAAAATAAAAAAAATAAAAAGGGTTGGGGTTGTAGCTTAGTGCTAGAGTACTTGCCTTAGTACATGCAAGGCCCTGGGTTCTGCCCCTAGTATCTGTAAAAAATGAACGAAAGAAGAAATTAATTCAAGTAGTACTCTTTAAAAATTTTTAATTTTTTTAGTTGTTGATACAACTTTATTTATTTAAATATTTATTTTTTTAGTTTTAGGTGGACACAATATCTTTATTTTATTTATATGTGGTGCTGAGGATCAAACCCAGTGCCTCACACCTGCTAGGCAAGCGTTCTACCACTGAGCCACCACCCCAGCCCCCTGCAGTAGTACTTTTTAACCTAACCCAGCATATCTAGTATCCAGCATTCAGCATGCGGCACTAAGTTCTCAAGAGCCTCATGGGCTGAATGGCTACCATAACCAGCACAGATCTAGAAAAAGAAGCCCACAGATGATCTGGGGTTACAGCTTAGTGGGGGGAGTGCTTGTCTTATATGTGTAAGGCAGTGGATTCGATCCTCAGCATCACATAAAAATAAATAAATAAAATAAAGTTATCATAGATGGGTGCAGTGGTGCATGCCTGTAATCCCAGCCACTCGCAAGTTCAAAGCCAGCCTCAGCAACTTAGCAAGACCCTGCCTCTAAATAAAATATAAAAAAGAGCTGGGAATGTGGCTCAGTGGTTAAGCACCCCTGGGTTCAGTCCTCAGTACCAAAATAAAATAAAATAGGTATCGTGCCCATCTACAACTAAAAATAATTTTTAAAAAAGAAGCCCATAGAATAGGGACTCCTGCCCCCAGGACAGTGGGGATGGACTTCTGGAAGTCAAAGAGGGCAAACTGCGTCTCCTAAGAAATACAAGGCAGAGCACCCCTTTTGGTGAGGAGGGGACAATTTTATGGCTTTTAAGGGATCACAGTATCTATCCCAGCAGGGGCTCTCTGGGGGAGGGAGACTGACAGCTGCCATCTTCCTTCTATAGGTAGACCACCTCTGGCCCCAGCCGGCCTGGAGCTGGGGCTGGGTAGACCCCTAGCTTCCCTTTCTGGCACATCCTGGCATTTGGAACAGCCTGGTGTGGAGGGAAGAACAGCTGGACTTGAAAAGCTTTCCAGAAGCTTCTGCTTTTGGCTGAGAGGGCTAAGGCCAGGCCCCTCTCTGAGCTACACCGTCTCTAAAACAGGAGTGGTCACCATTGACCCCACTTCTACCGTAGAAGAAAGGTTTCTTATCCAACATGTGTGGGTTTGTAAGCCATGAACATAGGAAGAAAAGAGAGTGGGGAGGGACAGAGGGACAGGGAGGGAGCCTCTTCCAAGGCTGCCCTTTATATATATATATATATATTTTTTTTTAAAGAGAGAGTGAGAGAGGAGAGAGAGAGAGAGAGAATTTTTAATAATTTTTAGTTCTTGGCGGACACAACATCTTTGTTGGTATGTGGTGCTGAGGATCGAACCTGGGTCGCACGCATGCCAGGCGAGCGCGCTACCACTTGAGCCACATCCCCAGCCCTGCCCTTTATATATCGTTGGATTTATTCCCAGGGTTTTCAAGGATGACTCCCCAAGGGCAGACGCCAGCAGAAGAAAGATGGGGAGGGGGACTCAGGAAGGATGTGACCTGGCAAACCCTGAAGCAGAGGAGCTGGAGCACTCAGTTTGGGCCCAGGAAATGGGGGTTCCCTTTCTTAGCTGCTCTCAGCACTAGGGTTTGTGGGAAAGAGAGAACAGGACTACTTCAGGGCCAAGTGAAGGGCGCTCTGTGTGGGCAGAGAGGCAGCCCTCGCGGGGCCAGCCTGACATTTTCTGCTGATGCTGGGAGCCAGAGAAGGGGGCCACAGCCTGGAGTTCTCATGACCCAGACAGCTGATCCTGTGTCCAAGTGGCCCGCCAGGCCTCTCTGTCCTGGCTGCAGAATTGTTGTGCCAGTGAAAGGGAAAGGGGACAGGCACCAGGCTACCCCCAAGACTAAGTGCCCCCAGCACACCTGCTGGGTCCCCCTGGAGCCTTCAGCTGTATCTTTTGTAGAGTCTGCAATTAAGGGGGAGATCTGAGACTTTAGATTTACACCCTTGGGAGTTGAGCAAATGGGCTTCAGGAGATCTTGTGAATGTCCCACTTAGTTCTCATCACTAAAGGCAAAATGTGCCTGGTGAGTGTGTGTTTTTTCCCAAGCCCAGGCTCTAAGCTCTTGTCAAGCCTTGGAGGGACCAGTGACCCCTACAAGGGTAAGAACTGCTCTAGGCACACACTCACAAACACACGCGCACAAACGCGTATACCAACCCACTCATGTATACACAACATTTACACCCAAGTTCATGCACACATCCACACCCATCCACACATGTGCACAAACATACTTTCTCTTGTCCTGTTTCAGGTCCCTTGCATCTGCGGAACCGTCCTAGACAGAGTTGCTTCCGCTGATGTTCTCCCTCCACAACTGCTTTCTGCCTAATCTTATAAGTGGCCAGCCTCTGCAACTTAGACCCTGTCTCAAAATAAAACTTTGGGCTGGGAATATAGTTCAGTGGTAGAATGCTTGCCTAGTTTGTGTGAGGCCCTGAGTTCAATTCCCAGTACTGAGAAAAAGAGAGAAAGAGGGAAGGAAGAAAGAAATGCCTGTCTCTCTGATCCATCTCCTACCGTCCCTCCTGTGACCCCAATCCTCAAACTCTGTCACCCTGGGTCACTATGGAAAGGGTAAGCCTCTGGAGGACAGCACTATCAGTGGTGTCCACGAGTCCCCTCAGAATCCAATTAGCCTCCCCCTTCACTTCCTGCCCTGCTGAGCCCCACCCCAAGGTAACACCAAGGTCAGATGTGAGGAAAAAATAGATGAATCGACATTTTGCAAAGCACAGTGCAAACTCCACTCAGGTGCAGCCCCCCTCTATTCCTACTGGACTCCTGCCCACCCTTGATTCCCCTCCCTCCAACACCCCCACACCCATCCAGTCCAGATGTCTAGAGCCCAAGTAGCAGACAGACGCCATGTCTCTCCTTTCTGAGCCTGGGTCCCTATCTATGCTGCCAGCAGACCTCTGGGATAACTGGGAATGTGAAGAACTACCTTATTTTGTCTTTTTTCTTTCCCATTCCATTCAAATAAGGATTTCAGACAGCTTTCAGAAACCCACGTGACAAAGAATAAAAAAGAGAGAGGAAGCCAGAGGCGGGAGAAGTCCTGCTTCCATCCCCACTCCACCCCCTCCCCCGGGCTCTGTCTCTGGCACCCTGCAAAGGGCACCTCTCTGAGCCGCCACCATGGGACCTTGCTGAGCCCATTCAATCCTTCTTTCCAGCGACCTCAGGTGCAGACTTGGCCAGTACCCCCCTCCCTCGCCAACCTGCCAGGCTCCACTCCAACCCAGGCCCTGCCAGTCCCAGCTCCCCCCACCCAGCCCCTCCTGCTCTGGCTTTCTCTCTCCCACCCCCATCTGC